AAACATGGGGTTAATACAGAGAAACAAGCTAGCGTATTAAACACGCCTTACCGCCAGTCCACCCGCTTGAGTGAACTCGTTCCTGAGACTAATTCTCGAGGTAACTTCGCAAAGACTGAACTTCTCGCTACGCCAATGCTCGAAAAATACTGTTGAACCTGATAAGCGGAGCGATGCAAAAATATCTAGCCTTGGCTCCATGTAACAACAACATACTGGGACTTGCTGGTCTAGCCACCTTCACAATGGGCAGAGGGATGCGGATGTAGTTGTTGATAGGACTACCATCAGACAGTACCTGGGGAGGGACCTCCACCACAGCTACTGTCAATGACACTATTCTCACGTAGTTGATGCACATAACAGGAGGGAACTCATATGGCGACCTAACCAATAGTCGGCCGGTGAACTCACGTTTCGATCCACCCATCACCACTGGGCTCCGACCTAAGATATCACCAGCAAACTAACAACAGCAACGTCCATTCGCTACCATTACTAGGGACAGGTTCTATGGCGAAGTCAAGGGCCGAAACCTTCCTAGGCTCAGCTATCAGATTCGCTTGTACCTGCACACAGAGAGATATACCCATACCAAAACTCTCACACTTATACCAATGGCGAGGCCCCCTTATTAAATAGCTCGAACTTGAGATCAATACCAAGGCCTTGCACAGAGCAGTGCATTCTCAAACTAACAGCATTATCTTCAAAAACGCATCCTGACCAACACAGCGTGTGGCTACAAGCCTCCAACGAGAGGGGCAGCCGACCTGAATACTCCCCACTTCCACATTGGAGCATAAGTCGGTACTGATCGCTGATAGGCTGAGCTAAGGCGTGGACTTCCGTTCCTGACGAGTGACAGGAATCATCAGCGTCACTCGCCACGAAATTAAATTACTTCCCCAATCAATATCGTTGGTCTGTCGGAAGAACAATGGGTCCTTCATATCAGCCACTGTAGCCTGAGACTGTATCCGCGTAAGGGAGTCTCTGCTAGGAGTGGCATAGTCCAAAGTTCCATTTG